TGTTTTAATATTTAGATCTTTAATCCACTTCGATTTTAGTTTAGCACATAGTGAGAGACATAGGCCTAGTTTTAATCTTGGGCAAGTTGAAATCCAGTTTTACAAGCACCATTCATTTAAGAGGCCATCTTTTCTCCAGTGAGAGTGTTTGGCTCCTCTGTTGAAAGTGAGGTGGCTGAGTGTGTCTGGAGTTGATTCTGCATCTTCTAATCCATTCCACTGGGCCTCAGGTCTGTTTTTTTGCCAGTACCATGATGTTTTATCACAGTAGCTTTGTAGCATAGTTTCAAGTTGGGAGTTGTGCTACCCCTCAACTTCTTTTTATTGCCTAGGAATTGCTTTTGCTATTCTAGGTCTCTTCTTGTTCCAAATGAATTTTTGTTTGTTTTCTAAAGGTCTGTGAAGTATGCTGTGGGATTTCAATTGGGATTGCATTAAATCTATATAGCAGCTCTGGAAATATGGCCATTTTCACTATGTTGATTCTCCTACCCAGGAGCAAGAGATATCTATCCATTTTCTGATATCTTCTTCAATCTCTTTTGCTAGAGTGCTATAGTTTACAGAATAGAGCTCTTTGATTTCTTTTGTTCGGTTACTTCCTAGGTATTTCAATTTTTGGGATGCTATTGTGAAAGGAATTGATTGCCCATTTCTCTCTCAGTGTTTATTTTTTGTATAGAGAAAAGCTATTGATTTTTGTTTGTTGTCTCTGTATCCAGATACTTTACTGAATTTGGTTATTCAGTCTAGAAGACTTTTGGTGGAGTTCTTGGGAATTTCTATATAGAGTATCATGTCATCTGTAAATAATGACAATTTGACTTCTACATTCCCTATCTTTATTCCTTTCTTTCTCTTTTCTAATTGCTGTGGCTAATGTTTCCAAAACCATATTGAACAGCAGTGCTGATAGTCAATTATCTAGAATACATAAAGAATTTAAACATATCAGACCTCCCAATTTTAAAGACCCAATCCAAAAATGGGCATCTGAAGTGAATAGATATTTCTCAGACAAAGAAGTAGAAATAGCAAATAAACATATGAAAAAATGTTCAATATCACTGGTTTTTCAAAAGACGCAGATGAAAACAACCCTGAGATTGCACCTCACCCTAGAAAGAATGGCTGCTATCATCCAATCAACCAAAAACAAATGCTGGCTGTGCTGTGGGGAAAAAGCAACCCTGCTCCACTGTTGCTGGCAGTGCAGACTGGTGCAACCACTGTGGAAATCAGTATGGAGATACCTCAAAGAAGTAGAATTGGAAGTCCCATTTCACCCAGCTATTCCTGCTGTGTATCTTCCCCAAATAATTAAAAGAATCATACCGCAGGGATATATGTGCACCCATGTTCATAGCATCACAATTCATGATAGCTAAAAGGTGGAAGCAACTCAATTGCCCATCAATTGGAGACTGGATAAAGAAAATGTGGGTTAAAAAAACAGAGTACTACTTAGTCATAAAGAATGAGAAACTAGAGATATGTATAGCTAAATGGATGCACATTGAGGTAATATTCAAATGAAATAAATAGGACACAGAGGTGTAAATACTGAATAGTTTCTCTTGTGTGAGAAAGTGCAAGTGTAAATAAGGACTAAAAACTATAATGCATAATGTGAAATAGGAAGAAAAGATACAAAGGGGAATCGGAAGTAGGAGGGGTAGAGGAAAAGAAAGAAGGGAATGGAATTAACGTGAGAAAAAAATTGGAAACAAAATCTTTGAGATAGGGAAGGGTAGAGGGGTTGAAGGGAGGACAGGGGACTGGGGAAAAAATAGGAACCGAGATGGATTATGTGAAGGTGCAAATTTCCACTGATGAGTGTCATTACACTGTATACCTTAAATGTACCAATAAAATAAATTAAAAATAAATAAATAAAACTGCTACTCAGTATGAACAAGTAAGATTTATCTCAGGCTTACAAGGATGGTTTAACCTATACAAATCAATAAATGCAATATAACCCATTAACAGAATGAATGATACAAATCATATGAAAAGTCACAGATGCAAATTTTTTATAAAACCAAATATTCCTTCATGACAAAATTCCTGAACAAATTAGGTACATAAGGATTGTACCTTAATATAATAAATTCTATATATGACAAACCCTATATCATGCCAAATGGAGAAAGCCGAACAACATTTCCTTAACCTTTATTACCTTTCCCCTACCATTCCCACTTTCACTACACTTTTAGCCCTTTTCTTCCTATTTCACATTGTCAATTATATTATTAGGATCTTATGTACCATTATAGTTTATTCACACCAGAGAAATTATTCGGTGTTTACACATGTGTGACTTATTTATTTCACTTAGGAGCATATTCTCAATATGTATCCATTTTCCTGTGAATGAATCTAATTTCACATTCTTTATGGATGAGTAATATTCCATTTTCTAGAAAAATCACATCTTCTTTATCCACTTTCCAAATGATGGGCAAATGGGCTGTTTCCAAGTTTTAGTTAAAAAAAGTAGGGGAAAATGAAAAACTGGAAATGAAGTGTTTGTAAATGGGGTGGGGAGGAGGGGGGTGAAGGGAGGGCAGGGACAAGAGGAAGAAATGAGAACAAGGACCTGTCATGTAAAGGTACAAGATCCCAGTGATGAATGTAACTGTACTGTATACCTAAAATGTACCAATAAACTCAATGAGGATAAAAAAGAATTTATTTAAGTGATGGTGCTAAGCAATGAGAAACATGTGAGGAGGAGATAAATATATTTAGCCTGATTTAAACGCCCTAAATACGTACTGTGTTATTTTTGCATTTTCTGTGTACCAATTAATACACTTAAAATGCAGAAAAATTAAGTGATGAAGACCTTATTGTGATTAATTTGATTGGAAAACTATAGGAGGTATTTCAATCATCACTTGTTTAATGAGCATAGGACAAAAGTCTTCATTTTTCTTCTTGATCTATCATAAACCTTTAATTTTGACTGTTTCATTGCAAACTGAAATAAAATACTTCAAAAATCGGGGCGGGGAGCATATCCTTAAAAGACCTGGAGTAAGACATGGATGCCTTCTCTTAGCGTTCTCATTTAATAATAGTGCTGAACTTTTAGCCAGAGCACGGATACTATGGCATTATTGCCCTTTTTAAGCCTTTCACTCAACACTGACTCCTAACCTCTCTCATAGTCTTGGAGTAGGCTTTTACTCTAGTAATTGAATCCATCATAGAGACTGATCACAATAAATATTTGAAATTCTTTAGTTCTGATATGAAGCACCCCTTTCTACCTTCACAAAGATTCAGGAGACTACTGACCGTCTAAGTAATTTTAATTTTAATTTTAATTTTGTAGTTACAACTACAAAATGACAATTGAGGGGCTACTTATGTCTATTGTTATGATGATCAAGTAGAGATAAGTATGTGAAAGGCTTTAAATTTATAGGAGATTATAGAAATGTATTTGCATGTTGCTGTTCCTTCTTTGTTTCTCATTAGACAATATTTAAACACTTTCTCCAAATCAAAAGTAGTTTATTATAAAACATTTCAAAATAAGTTGGAAGCTTAAGTGGCAAGTTTTGTGGGAACAAGATTATTTGTAATCAGGATGTTGGTAATGATTTCCTAGTTTTATGATCATAAATCAAGTCTTATGTTTAGTCAATCCTTCAATATTGTATTGAATAACAATTTTAAATTATGCCATTTCTCATTCCCTCCAGATGCTCTGAATAAACAATTTCTTCACTGTTATTACTCGAATGTTAATTTATAGACTGACAGGCAACTGTCTCATAAACAGCATCCCTCCCCACTGAGAGAGTTGTTTCCAAACTTCTTTCATGTTGTATATACTCAAAGATTATTTTTAAACATTGATTATCTTTTAAATGATGTGCTCCTGAAGAATATTCCAGGAAACAGACCTTCTGTTGTTGAAGTGGTACCAAACTCAATCCCCACCAATCCACCAAATGTCATCTCAAAAATTAATATAGTTGTTCAAGCTGAACATTAGAATTTATTCCAGATTCCCCTGTCTCTTTCAGCTGCTATCTCCAATTCATGAGAAAGTCTGACAATTTCATGACCTATGTAGTTCTCAAACACAATACTTTTTTTTAAGCTTATTAGCATTTCCTCCATAACTTTGCCTCGACAAATAGCCTGCACTGTCTATACTTATTACCTTATATATTACTTTAAAGCCACTGCAACCATGCTAGAGTTCAACAAACACGATTGTGTAAGTACCCATGACTTGATGATATACCCAACTGCTGTACTCCTTTTCTAGCTAATATCATTTAAATTTTTCCATCCCCCAGGTGACATCCCCTTTCTAAAACCTACCTGAATATAACGCGTAGACCTTGGTCATTTATGACTATGAAAATATATTATTTTCCCCAATTTGAAAAATATTATTTTTTATAAGTAAAGCTCATAGTTCACCTCAAACATACTTCCAGTATGGCATAATTTGGTTGATGCTAACATTTTAAGATCATTTACATTTTCACATTTCATTGTAGCTCTGCCCATGTGTGCATATAAACATGTGAAGATATAACTTCACATGAAGTTTTCAAGAGCTGGAGATGTTCATATCAGTATTTTCTTTGTTTGCACAGAAAGAGAACAAAAATCAGATTTTTCAATATTCTGGCTTGCAAGACTTTGTTTGGTGCTTGTTTTTTAGATTCTGTTTTCTATGTGTCAGCTTTTCAAAATATGTGCAGAATATTGATATATTTTTAAACACAAAGATATAGAAATGTTTAAATAAGCGTATGACTCCTTTGCACATTCCCACCACTGTGAGAGTATCCAAGGCCACTCTCCAGATGTGAGGCTTAGTGAGCAGCAACCACAGACATAAAGACCTCTTAGAAATGAGGAACATTCTCATGGTGTCAACACTGCTATTTCTTGATGATTTCCCAATGCCATTAGGAAACATTCCTCAATCTCAGAAGACAAGTTTGAGGTCTTATTGTTTTTTGAACTTTTAAAGAGAAGCAGGAAAAGATAAAACCAACAGCCAGGGTGACCACAACTTCATGCCGTCTGAGTCTTCAGAGCAGTCTACAGTAGCCAACATGTCTTGGGTCCTGCTTTGTGTGTTCTGCCTCATCATTCAAACTCCAGGTAAGCATGATTAAATCACACTTTACATGAATTCACATTACTTAACGGATGCTTAAAGTGCTCTTGAGAAAATGGCATGTGTACCTAGGATCCAAAGATCAATACTGTAGCCATGTAAAAAGTGGTATGAACATGCACATTTCCTTGTGTGGATGCTTTTGTAGTAAATCCTATACTGGAAGAGGGAAAGTATACACCTAAAGGTTCATATAAGTTTACCACAGAATTATCATTTGCTTAATTATACTATACCTAAAGAAAGGATAAAGTAGAATGATTTAAATAACCATGCTATACACACATACAGCTCAGTAAACCACTTATTCCATTTCTTTAAAAGCATTCATAGTCAAGACTGTGACTTAAATAAAAGTTTCATGAGAAAGCCTCTAAAAATGTGTATCTCAAATTAATCTTATTAGGTCTATCACCGTTTTCTTGATTTGTTTGTTTGCTTCTTTTTGTTTGTTGCTTTTTGTTGCTGGAGATTGAATCCAGAGCCTCATATAAAAATGAACCGAATTACCCCTAGCTCTTAGCATTTTTTTCTAAAACACATAGACCCAAAAGATACTACACTGCACTACTTAAAATTTCAACATTCACCTCCATCCCAGAATTCAATTCTGCTTTATTCTGATATTTCAGCACTGTAGTACTTATCACTTGCCAATGTGTCAATCTATCTAGATGGTAAGAAATAGATCAAGTAATAAACAAATAGAATGCAAAGGGATCACAGTCTATTTATTGATTGATTTGACTCAACAACTTCAACCCATGACGAGCTTAAAGTTAGCATTCAATAGATATTTTTGAATGATTATCTGAGTTTTCTTATTAAAAGCTACATCGGAGATGGTTTATTACTGTTGCAAGAAGAATGTAACGCTTTTATATTGTATTTTACTATGATTAGGTGAAAAATCAGACAGAGTGAATTGAGACATTATGTAGTTAAAGAAAAAGTATACTGTTGACTCAATGTCTCCATTTCTGAAGTGAAATACTTTTGAGAAGTAAGAACTTGGAATTTCATTAGTTTTCTTGACTTTGATTTTTATAGTCCTTAAAGAGACACTACTGAGTACGATTTTTACTTTGGAAATTTTGCAAGGGTCTTTGACTAAATCAATTCATAAGCCATGCTTAGAAAATGTCCTCAAATCCAAATGAAGCAAGTAATGAGATGAGCAAATACTTTGAAGGCTTCCCTAAAATTTCACAGTTAGCTTTCAGATTGGGACCAGGTTTTATTAAAGTTCATGCTAATTTCAAGCCTATGACAATTCTCACAAAGGGACTCATATTAACATTTGAATAATGCATACTTACTGGTACACTCCTAAATTTCCTGCATGAGGAACTCTTCTCAGAACAGTACTGCAGCAGAAGTCTGGGAGCATTTACCATCTCCCTTCAGATTCTCCCTGTCTGCCAAATGGAGAACTTCTTGGTGTCCTAACAGTCCCTTTTTTTTTTTTTTATTGAGTTTATTGGTACATTTAGGGATACAGTACAGTTACATTCATTGTTGGGATCATGTACCTTTACATGGCAAGTCTTGATTCTCATTTTTTCCCCTTACCTCTGCCCTCCCTTCACCCCCTCCTCCCCTCCCCATCTACAAACACTTTATTTTCATCTTTTCATTCTCTCACATTTTTTTCTTTTCCCTTTTTGTTCTTCCCCTACGTATCACACCTTCCCTACACCTTTAGCTCCTTTCCTCCCATTTCTAAATGTCAGTAATCTTATTAGAATCTTATGCATTGTTGCAGAATATTCACACCAGGGAAACTATTTGGTATTTACACATGTGGGACTTATTTATTTCACTTAGGAGTATATCTTCAATATGTATCCATTTTCCTATGAATGAATCTATTCTCTCGCTCTTTATGGCTGAGTAGTATTCCATTTTATAGAAAAACCACATGTGCACCCATGTTTATAGCGGCACAGTTTGTAATAGCTAAATCTTGGAAACAACCTATTTGCCCATCCGTTGGAAACTGGATAAAGAAGTTGTGGTTTTTCTAACAGTCCCTTTTATTGTCGCAGTGAGCAGGAAAATGTCTCTAAAGCCAGACACTTTAGTGTCTGTTTAGAAAACATAGGCACTCAAAATAAGACTGACCTTATATGAGTTACTGGATGATTATAAAGAAGACGGAAGGTGTGCTGCCATTTTCCAGTCCTAAGAGCAATGAGAATGAAAGAACACCTGGGTTTACTATCGGAGAAAAGGTCAAACCCCTGAGTCACTCTGTCTCACTGAATATTACCAGCATGGGAAATATTTGATATGTGGTATACGTAGTTAAGGTTTGCATCACACCAAGAACAAGACATAGGAAAGAAAAATCAGATGCCTGAGAGCATTTAGCAAGATTTTGAAGAGGATGATGGAGCAAGAAGGAGCTGGATTACCTCACCCAAAATTCCTGGTTCACCTATCCCTCTTCTTAATTTCTGTTTCTGGTCACCGGTGGTCCAGAATTTTCATACAAAGAGATCATGCGAAGAACTGTTCATCATTATGACATCTCTGGAGAATGAGAGAGAAAGAGAGACAGAGAGAGGAGATTAAGATAGGAGAATCAAATTGATCTTAATGTTGGCTCTCTAGATAGCTATTTACTGGTCTTTGATTTTGTCTCAACAAACCAACACCATCAAACCAAACCAAAACGAAATTAAAAATTTTAAATCTTTTATATCAGTATTACTTTTTTTCTCTACCAATAGCCATGAAACAAACTCCTGAATTTAATCTCCATGCAATAGTTCATCCCAAAATACTACACAGTTTACATGAAAAAGGAATGGAGAACAACCAGACAGAGGAACAAGGCAAAGAGGTAAGCATTGTGAAGGACTGTGGTAGATTTTACAAACCCCTGGGAACAAAACAAGGTCCTTTTCACTAATTGAAGTGAGGTCACAGTTCACATGGAATAATTTGTCTTGATATCCATATGTACAGGAGAGATCATGTGATTCTTCAAAATGGATTTGTAGTTAAGCAGTACTTGGACACTTCTTCAAATCTGAGGGGGAACAAAGGATCCCAGGAAGGGCAAGCCCGTGTAGGGGATGGTGCAATATCCTACACTCTCCAGTCTCACTTATTCACCTTATCCTTAATCTTTTTTTTTTTCAGGTGCACTGATTTTTTTCTAAGTCATCTTGTCTTTAATGGAGAATCCAACTTTAGCTCAGTAGTTAACAACATTGTTATTTTTCATGTATTAGGATTACTGACTTTTTGACTACCCAGCTGTTGCCAACATTTCCCTCACCTTGTAATTTCCATCTTAGTTAATTCTTAGATTTGAACCAAGATATATCATGTACAATTACAAATTCCCAATGAGAAATGTGATTATAAATTATAACTAAATGTACCAATGCACTTAATGAACAAAATATAAAATTGGATATAATGTTAACATATATGCCCTATTATTCTCTTTTTTATGGTCAATTATGTGCTCAGGATGCTGTTGTATTTTACACTGAAACAAATGTTAAGTCCCTACCTCATACATTAGAGCTAGTTTAATCTGCATCGTTACTATGTAATTGTACTTCTAGATAGTCCTTAGTGTGCAAACTATGCTTTACTTTAGAGGCATAAGAGAACTATTATTAGCTTATATGTGTTTATAATTGTTCTAATTTGTACTACATACAACATTATATTTAGAAATATAAATCATGTGGTAAAATTACACCATTAAAAATTTCAGGAAACTTATATATCTGAAGTTCAGTACCTGATCAAATTAAATGGAGAAAAAATCATTCTTCACCTACAAAAAGCTAAGTAAGTTGTACTTCCTCAGATGTAATTGCTGAATTTTGGTAAGCAAATGTTAGAGGAGAATGTTGGGGGCTCTGTTCACTGTGGTTGGAGCTGCACTGGGCTGTAGATGGTACTGAATCATGCTGATGTTATCTGAGAAGGTTGATCCTTTCCTGGGGAATCATTTGCAACCTGTAAAACAATGAGAGAGACCCACTGGTATGATTTTCTTCCTTGAACCTTTTGCCATGTATTGAAATCACTTCTACCTGGGTAAACTACATTCTTTGATGTGGCTTTCCATTAGTTTTATATGAGTATATGTCCAAGGCAGGTTTACTCAATAAACTACTTTTGGGAGGCAATGGTTCTTGATATGCGCTTGTGACCTAGCACCCTTCACAGATTGTGCGAAAGTTGTGTACTTTGTGCAAAATTTCCCAAAGTGATGCATTTGTCATTTTTTAAAAACACCAACAACTGAAAAGTAATTGAGAGTATTTCTTTCCTTCAATTTAATGATTACTGATTTTTTGATGTGAGTGTCCATGTTGGAAGGAAATCAAGGGCCAGAACGTCAGTTCTTTCTCATCATAGGCATTGTAATTCCTTTAGGTGCAGAAGGTCACCTCATGTAAAGGAGCCTTTCTTAGCATCTTGAGTGTACTGTGCTGCTTTCTGCTCTCTACAGGCATGTCCGAGTGCCATACTGCACTGAAACACACCACTCCCACAAAGGAGAGGAAATAACCAGGAGCTCTCAGAACATGGTAGGACCTAAATACTCCATGGAACTATTCCACCATCTATCAATGACTTTACAAAATGCAAAGATCCAAAGATAACTTTAAAAAAGTATTTGAAGTCAATGTGCTCACATATGACCTTTGAGACAACAGGTAGAAAATAAATCACCCGTTGTTTAAAAGGGAGGAGTAACAGGAGCTTTCTAAATGTTGCATTTTTAAGAGCAACCCAAAGTCCACTCGTCCCTATACCATTTTATCCGGAGGTTGGCAATATTTTCCCTTATAGGTAATTGAAATGTCATGTCACTACTTACTGTTTCTTTAAAGTATGTTGATTTTGCTTAGGTTCAGCAATGGAATGTCAGGTCTTGAATGAATATGTTTGTAACTGGTCAAGCTGCCATCTTATACAGAAAGCCAAATGTCATCAACCGTAGAAAACTAGAGAAGAGCAGGAAGTAATACAGAAAAGCTCATTGAAGAGATATTACCAAACTGAGGTACTTTCTCACAGGCATCCTTCATGGCACACTAAGCACGCACAGCTCTATAAGTGAACAAAAACCCCACAATACTTTTGTCACAAAACAGTGCTTCATCCCCTCCTCTTTTCAAAACACTCGTGTTATAGGTATGCTGATTTTTGTTAACATTTGTCCTCAATGGAGAGTATCTGACAAATTAATTCATGCTCAAATGTTAGAGTCTGATGATGTCTCAACATGGTACTTTTCCAGGTCTTCCATGTGAAAATGTTTCTACAGAGAATCTTCTAAAGAAGACACACACACACACACACACACACACACACACACGCACACGCACACGTTGGCTTTCCAACGCTTCAGCAAGTACATTGACTTTGAATCAGAGATTGTTCGTTATCGTTTGTAGATGATGTCACATATATTACCCCAATACCATATGGATCCCCAATCATGTCTAAGTCTTCGGTTATAGACAAATATTCTGGGGTCTTAAATCTGATAAAGGGATTTCACTAGTAGTCCTATAACAATGATGAATTACACCAGTTAGTTTGAAAAGTAGGAGTCCGATTTTATTAACATGCACCTTGGAGCTAATTTCTTGAAAGTTGGCCCTGCAACCTGCAACTCCCCCAACAGACCAGTAAATCCCAGAGGGATTGGCTGTTCCTCAGCAGCAACAGCCACTTTCTCCATAAGCGCACTTATGTGCTAGGCACTGGACTTTACCTCAGTGCAAATTAGGGTCTGAAAAACAGACACGAATTCAGAAAACCTCCTAGGCTCTCACTGTTTTTGTTTCTGGAAAGTGATAAGGACCAAGACACCATTTCAACTTTTGTGCATATTCAAGATGGCAGCTTTCTTTATCACTGGGATTTAGCAATGTTCTATATGTATATGTATTTCTAAAGTATATGTGTGCTTCCTAATTCCAGAAACACTGTTACTATGAAGGTCACATCCTGAATGAGAAGGATTCTTTTGCCAGCATTAGCACCTGTGATGGGTTGAGGTGAGAGACACTGTTGGATTTATGAAAGTCAGGCGTCATTTTCTCATGAGCTTAAGATGAGGAATAAAGTACTATCACTATAGTCCTTTCATAATCTGCTGCTCTCCAAGTCTAGATCCACTTTGTTTAAGCAAGAGTGCTATTCTGGACTTAGTGATGTCTGGATTCATTTCCTAGTTCATCTACTTCACTCTAAAGGAATCGTGTTTTATTTTAATAATATTTAATAATATTTTAATAATGATTCTACTCTGTAGTTGTTAAACTTTATTTTTTAAGAATATGTGTGTACTCCTTTTACATAAGTAACTCTTGCCAATTAGAAAAAATTCGGAGTAAGAAGAAGTCCAAATAAGAAAATGACAGCTACTATGAAATTTGACTTCTGAATGATCAGTATTACTTACACTTTACTGTGTTTTAGCCCTTTATATATATAGACAAATATATCTTTCACATGGGTAAAATATTAAAGAAAACTTCTAATTTTTTCAGTATTGTTGATACATAATATGAAATTGTATTTTCCCATACCATAAAGTATCTTGAGTATAATTTTAATGCCTTTTATGTTGGATTTATAATATAACATTATATGGATTTGAGTCCTCTTCTGAAATGACTTATCTTACTATAAAGGGAGATGCCTTACACTACTACTACTGGCTATTCTTAGTGATCTGCTAACCCTTGTTCTCCCCTCTGGAGCTCCTGGCATCTCTACGTCACTTTACTCCAGTACCCATTATATTCCTGGGATCTGCCAAGAAATATTTGCTAAATGAACAAATGAGCTGAAAAAAATTCTTACTAAGTTGATGGTGAATTTGGGGGGATTGCTTCAATTCAGTAATTCTTCAGACTCTCTGGATAAATAAGATAGGCATCGTTTTATATTGACAAATACTGACTATAGCTTAAACTGTAGGATGGTTAGGGAATAGCTGTACGTATACATTTGGATAGGGGGCGAGGCAATGAGCCATTCTGAGCAGGTGTGTTAGAGTCTGGGCTCGAGGGGACCCGGAAGCACAGGTCTCTCTGTCTCCCAGAGGATGCTTCACACGACACGGCCAAAGATACCTGATCGAGCCCCTGCAGAGCTCAGAGCAGAGCGAACATGCAGTCCTGATGCACAGCCAGGAGGGGTCAGACATGGCGAATTGCTTATGCGGCGTGAGAAGAGCTGGCAGGAAACAAGGCCAGAGCAGGATGTCGAGGTCACTGAACCGTACAGAGGTGAGGACAGCTTTACAACAGTTGTGAGTCCAGCTGTCTCGGCAGGGGCCCGTGGTGCAGCAGAGCGTGCAGCAGTGCCTGCTGCGTGCAAAGCTTGTTGACCACTTGTTCTCCACCCTCATCTTTCTCTGGGGAAAACCTTTCGTAAGACGTTGAATCTCTTACAACAAAGGCCTGAGTTAACACTACGCTCTCATTATTTATAAAGCCACAAGACTTCCCGCGGGAACAGAAGTACATTGATCTCTTTCTGGTGCTGGATAACGCCTTTGTGAGTATGAAATCTGTGTGTTCCTGGGACAATTTATTCAACGTTTGCTGATTTTGTCAAGCAAAAGAAAGTAATTAGCTTTTGTAGTTAGGAGGCATTTGGTCCACCTGATTTCCTGGCTATGTCACACAGCTTGCCTGTATCTGTTTTCACTCCAATCCATTTTAATATCTGTCTGCCACCAAATATTTAGATCTGCTGAAGTGCTTAAGGCCACTCACACTTACACAGTAACTGCAAAAATGAGAAATAAAAGAGTAAATTGTTAAAATATTAAATTATTTTATATTTTAAAATAAGTATAAATATATCTTTAATATTAATATTATTTACACATAAATTTGGAAAAAAACTCAGAACTATACATAACTTATGAATCATATTTCATAGAGAAAAATACTAGACTCTGTTTTTACTTAATATATTCTGCTTCATAATCAAATTTTAATTAATATTAAATTGTTTGAAAATTAAACTATTAATTTAACTTACTGAACTTAAAGATAATAACAATGTAATTTCATGAGGGCGTATCTGTCACTCATCAAAAACTGAATCAAAGCCGGGTGTGGTGGTGCACGCCTGTAATCCCAGCACTCGGGAGGCTGAGGCAGGAGTATCTCTGAGTTCGAGACCAACCTGGGCTACATAGTGAGTTCCAGTTCAGTTTCAACTACACAGTGAGAACCTGTCTCAAACCCCCCCCCAAAAAAAGAAATTGAATCAGAATTTGTTGAAACAAAGTCTTGAATAGGGCAGTCATGGAATGAAGAGATGCTAATTGTATTAAAATATGCAATTTTTCTATAAATGTGAAATACCACACCCTGTTGGTCTTTTAACTTTAATTTGCAATTTTGATTGTGCTCTGTGTCTTGCCTTTTACAGTACAAGATGTATAATGGGAACCTCACTGTGATAAGAAACTTTTTGTCTGATGTGCTGAACCTACTCAATGTGGTAAGACATTTGTCCTGTCACCACGAGTATCCACATAGCAGCTTGGAGCTTCCCTGTGACTTCACTACAAGGGCTGAGAGTGTCACAGGGACTTCAGGACAGCTGTTATGGGAAATTTAGACTAAAAAAAAAAAGATCAACATCAAGGTAAAATCACACACCCTATAGTAAAGACATTTTTTAGGATTTCTAGCTTCAGAATGAAAATTGTTCATCACCAGTGCCCCATGCCTTTATCCATCATATGTGATCAAAAAAAGCTCCAAACACTGAAGGCATCCTGCACTTTTTCATGAAGAAAAACGCTCTCCCCACAGATGTATAACACTATGGATGTTCACGTGGCCTTGGTAGGTATGGAAATCTGGTCCGATGGTGACAAGATCAAAGTGGAACCTAACATTGGCAAAACGTATAGTACATTTCTGCAATGGCATAGATCTACCCTGGGGAATAAGAAGATCCATGATCATGCTCAGCTTCTCAGGTGAGCCCGTGCCAGCCAGGGCAGGTATATATCTGTAGAGTGGACAGTTCTCTCGGGTTCCTTGGTTTCTGCTCATTCACACTGCCCCAATCAGTTGTTACAAGGCCCCATATTCTAAGTGTTTCTCCTTTTGTATAAGATACATAACATGAGTTCTTGACTGTGAGAAAAACCATCTGTGATCACTATAATGGTATAGGACAGTAGAAGCTGTTCTGGAGAGCAATGGACATGAAAAGGCCAGGGCAACAAAGGAAATCTATGACATCACCAATACAACTGACGGTTCCAAGGCTCGGGCTTGATGGTGTCTCTGCATCTTTCACACAGTGGAATTGGCTTCTACCATCGCCGTGTGGGAATGGCAAACTCGAATTCCTTGTGTTCCCCAGCTTCGGTCGCTGTCATTGAGGTTTGTAAACTCATACTAAGGCTCGCTGTGGGTTCCATATCTGTAGAAACACGAATATGTTCTTTATGCAGAGAGTAAGCCCAAGGAGCAATTGCTGAATAAGTAAGTAAAAGTAGAAATGAAAGTATTGGTAAATTTTTGCAGTGAAAGTTCTTTGTATTATGAAACATCAGCCATGTCAAAAGACCTCACACTTTTGTTAGCATTAAGAGATGCAAACAGGAATATGAAACGGAGAGGAGATCTATGTGCCCTCTGTGGCCCAAGATAACTCTAAATTTGTTATCTATGATGGAAGAGGTCACAGAAGGAAGACGGGTGCAGATAGGTGTCACGTAGCCAAGCCCCACTAATGTCAGAGGCGTCATAATGGTCTCTGTAGATTTCCTAGCCCATTTTATGCTGCCATTTTGTGCTTTATTACTTTCCAAGAGGAATGTAATTAATTTAGCCATTGTTTACTGAGTATTTAGTGCCCATGAGTCCAGCAAATACTGAACACCCATGCAATGACTGGATTCATGGGACCCAACCATTTCAAGTGTTCATTCAACATTAACCAATAAGCAATTTCAGGGAAAGAAGCTTCATGACTCATTTTCCTTATTCAAGCTATTCTTTTTGAGTATTGCACATTTATAATTCAGAACAAAACATGTTTAGTTTCATAAATAAGAAGTAACAGATGTTTCAATTTTTTTTCCAGGGTATAAATAAGAATAACGTGGCTCTTGCAGCAGTGATGGCCCATGAGTTGGGCCATGTCCTTGGAATGCCTGACATTCCCTACACCACCAAGTGTCCCTCTGGCAGTTGTGTGATGAGTCAATATCTGAGGTAAAATCATGTAGCCCTAAATTACAAAAGACTCTTCCCAAATCGCAAAGGATCTAGGCTCACCCTGCCTATGTGAGATTGGTATTTTTTCCTCAAAGACTACATACACCACTAGCTCAACTTCCAGTCTCTTCTTGTACAGCTTTTACCAACTATCAAAGTAGAGTTTGTAACCTTGGCAGTTATATTGTTTTAACATAAAATTTAAACTTTAACAAAAATTTTTAACTTAAAGTGAAATCACAGTTGTTAAATCATCGGAATATTTAAGAAAATCTTGCCTTTGCAATTACCCATACTTTATTCTTGAGGTGCTCACAAATAAGACGAGAAATATTTCTGTAGAACCTAGAAGTTTGTAATTATTCCATTTTATTGGATCATTATTGTGGTCTGTTAAGCACTCATCCTTCAGTTCCAGATGAGTGGATGGCAGTAAATAGTGACATTTATTTTTGTCCTTCTCTAGGATAGTGATAAAAACCACATGGAGATTTGAAAACTTCCAATTCTGCATCTGTGTGTCTAGGAAAAAGATTTCAATTAGAGTAGTATGTGTGCCGTGCCACCCACCATGTATAACACAGCATGACACTTAACATTTACTTAATTTGGAATCTCCACTGAGCTGGGTTAACACAGTTAGATGAGTTAGATTCTCCTATTCAGTAATCATGCAAAAGTCACTCTATTGTATCTCATGTTCTTTCAAGTATGTTTTTCTGCTTGCAGTTCAAAATTCCCAAAGGATTTTAGTACAATCTGCCGTTCGCGGTTTCAAAAATACATTCTATCTCAAAAACCAAAGTGCCTGCTACAAGCACCTACTCCTAAAAATATAATAACCAAACCAGTGTGTGGAAACCAACTTTTGGAAGTAGGAGAAGACTGTGATTGTGGCTCTCCTAAGGTATGAGAATATGTTCAGTTTAAATTTTTATTGGACACTTAGTGGAGCAATAACTAGATGGTTTTACTTTTTCCTGTTCTTTTTAAATGTTCTTTCAAAAGATACATTTGACCCAAAAGTTAAAAAGTAGATTTGCACTTGTGTTTTGCTAGTGATTTAAGTCATTTTTCAAAAGCCAGGATATGATTATGAAGTGACTGTATGAAGTTCAATGTATTAAATCATCAGCCACCTATTACCTCTCGAGACATATTACTTAGAAATCTCTTAGATCCATAATGTCGGTCAATCATGTGTAAAGCAGTAGCAATTATAGATCTGAAAGTTCTTGCTGCAGAGAAAGTTGGCATTTTCTCATCAAGTCCATATGTAAACAAGGAGATAAATTAATCAAAAGGTGCAAAAAGAGAAAAAAGTCAAGCATTCAGAAAATGAATTATTAACCCATGACACCTAAAATGCTATGATTCTGTTAACATTTATAAAGGATGAGGGCATTCATGCAATCTGATGGATGTCTCCTGTAGAATATTCCACTAGCAATCGCATATTCATTTTCTAAGAATTCTACTTTCTTAGCAAACTATCTTCAAGTCAAAAATTATCATTTGAAGAGATTATAAGTGTTTGACAATCTTCAAATTATCTTATTATACCCTATGTCCTGTCTCCTTTGTTATGACAAACCTACCTTATGAATATTGTTGTCATCCTGATTTAGAGGTGGGGCTCACAAAAGTAACTAGTAAGTAAGCAACTAGTTCCAAGTATAAAAGCTAGTAACTGGTAGCCAAGTGGAACCTGAAATTTCTCCAGGACTTCCAATGACTCACTTTCTGTAGGAGACAGCTAATCCCTCTGTTTCACCTTATTTACTCAGAAATTTTAAACTGTTACATTATATCAGAATGTTGTTTTATATGACTTAACATTTATTAAAGGACACTGCAAATATTCTGCTGATTGTAACACGGTATGGACTTTTGTAAATGATTTGACCTTTTAAATTAAACTAGAGTTAAATTTATCTCATTCTGACTAATCCCCATTCCCGTGGTTTTTTTGAGTAGAAGTATATTAACGTTTGTAAATCAGAAGTGCTCTTAAATTCAGTAGAGGAATGGTACATTTTCAGTGTGTGTACAGTCACGATGCACAGAAGAGAAACTACTGTCTCGATAATACATAGTATCTTGTTTTCTTGAAATACATTAATCAACTCTTATATTGTTTCAATATATAGTTTTCCTTTTATGTAATTGATTAAAACTAATGATTTCAGGCTTATGGACATTTATATTTTTAAATAACTGTTTTCTTATGCCAAAAGTACTTGAGGCTGGTGATATAGTTCAACAGTAGAACTCTTGACCACTAAGGTTCACATATTGCTGTTATTATTATCGTTGTTATTTGTACCTTAAATAGTTATGTTGGTGACACATCAATATTTTTAAGAGTTCATCCCCTTTTTTCCATATAAAGGATTTTAATCCACACAAAGAGTGAAAACATGATTTATGCTTTTCCATTATGTCTTTATACATTTTTCATGTTTCATAGTACTTGTTAGAATTTCCAAAAAATATAGAATATAAATAATCTTTGCCTTTTATATAAATTACAAACAATGCTTAAGTAATTTAATAATGGCTGCTCAAATGATCAACTGTTAATCTTTATCACGATAACACCAGTTGTTTTCTTCTCTCAGTCTCTTATTTAACTGTGTTCCTCAGAATTGAACCACTCTTGCATTTTTGGTGAAGAAAATGTACACAGATGTGGGAGAGTTACTGTATTAATGAACCGGGGTTTCACTAATATTGTATTTAAATTTTTGCAGTGATAACCATCTGGAAATAGTGTATGTGATCATTTGGTCTCACTACCAAAACTATGCAGGCTTGATAAAATACTGTAGGGGGTTCAATTTTTTCCCTGTTTATGGAGAGTTTGAATAGTACACAAGCATAGTTCCTTGACGCTTTCAGTTAATTTATATGTACCACCAAAGCAAATTTGTTTGGATAATTAGATAATTCTGTCTGGATTTTGAAGAGGTAGTTTGTGTTGTTTTTGCCATTTGTCCCAGTTATTAACATACCTTGGTCATTTCCACTGGAATTGGTGTAACAGAGTAATTTAGTTTAGCAGTGAAATCTCCCTGCTGTCTTGTACTTTAATATAAATGTACTTGGTTGATGGGAAGAACCTGTTAAACTTTCTCTCCCTTTTGTGTGCTATGAAGAATTGCACTGATCACTGCTGTGAGGCCCTGACCTGCAAACTGAAAAGTGGACCTGACTGTAGAGAAGACACTTCTGATCACATCACGTGAGACCTTTCTTATCTTTCTTTGTTCCCAAATATTTCCTGTGTCATTTCAGATTTGAGAAAGACGCAACACACTTTATTTTACTTTTGCAAGTAACTTAATTTTTTCCCATTAAGTTATTGGTATATTTAAAGCAAACAATGCAGTATCTCAATCTTGAGAAGAAAGAAAAATGCAATTATAAACATAAATCACTAAAGCTGTGTGACCAAAATAATGAAAGAAGAGGCTTCTTTGGCATCTGTGAGATCGGGACTGCCGAAATGTGCAAAGAAATAATATAATTTCCAGTTAAATAATGATTTTATGTTAGATGATGAGTTTAATACTAGCTAAGATGAAAAGAAGAAAAGAATAATGTTTTTAAAAACAACTTGATTAATCAGTACATTTTGTTCTTGATCAAGAGCTGAGAGTTGTCATTTGCAAGACAGAAAATTAGTAGCACTTAAGTATGCTGTAAGACTAGTAATTGTATTTTTTAAAGTGTCTCAATGAGTTATAATCCAAGTATTCTTCTCATGTCTTATATAGTCCTGTATCATTTGGACTTGGGAATTTGGAGTTTGCTAGTATTTATTACAGTAGAAAATCAACACAGTATAAAATTGGCAGCACGAATAATAAAATTTTTAAGTATAGGAAAGATCCAGGAAACATTATATGGAAAGAGTTCATCTTTACTCTTTTTCTACATTTTTTTCTCGAGTCAAAACCACAAAGAATACTGTTGACTTGAACACCACTGACTGTCAAACCCTCAGGGAAGATCAAAGGGTAAAGAGCATCCCTCGTGGACTTATGAGCTGTCATTGAATGCCGTCCCTGTGAACCACGGGGTGGGAGATCACTTTTCAAGGGATTTAGAATTGGGCCCTGATAGCATATTAAAATAAAAAGAAGAAAGGAAAATCAAGAACAAACAAAGAAAAGGAAAAATGAGGGAAATGAGAAGAAGAGAAAGGAAAACAAGAAAGCCCTTTGAACTCTCCAGGGCCTGGAGGCACAGGGGTGCAGGCCGTTCTGGGTAGTTTAGTGTCAAGGAGGGAAAAGTGAGTTTGGATTCAGGATCTTGTAGTCTCACCTTCATCCTACCAAAAACTAACTGTGGGGCTATGAGCTGAGTTACTTCGTTTGTTTTCTCACCTGTACAATGGAGCTGATGATATTTCTCAGTAGGGTTGTTAGTATTGTTTAAACTCTATAAATTTCCACTTTCATTGTGATGGAATATTTTATAACATAATAACTGTGTCTCTTAACATTTTTCTCTTAATCAGAAAATGAATCGCAGTCCACTTCATTGCAAAGCGACTCCACAAGACTAAAGAATTCTAACCACGCTAGACATCTTCAATTTTCACCTCAGGCACTTCACTGGATCTTGGTTTCTGTATCCATGGATTCAACCAACCGCTGATGGAAAAGTGTAAGAGAAAATAATCACGTCCATACTGAATACATGGATTTTCACCTTGTCATTATTTTCTTTAAAAATCAGTATTAAAACTACTTCCATAGTCTCTTCTTTGTATTAGGTATTATAATTAACCTATAAATGATTTAAAGAATAGAGCAGAATGTGTATAGCTTATAGGCAAATTTTGTGCCATTTTATATAAGGGAGCAAAGCATCCTCAGATTTTTGGCATCTATGGGGGTCCTGGAAAGAATTCCCACAGATAACAACAGGTGATTCTACTTGTTTCTCCTTTGTATTTTTTTACCTGCTATTTGTTAAGTAGATGTACTTTGAAAGCTGCCTATATAGCTGGACGCAATTACTAATGTGTTTCTAAAGAGCATGACGCTGTGATGTGGCTCTATCCTTTAGAAAACAGGAAAAATAGCCTTTGAATAAAGTACCTCAAATGCGTGGTTGAAATACCCAGAGTCAATCCAAAATTACAAAATACAAGTGACGTGTACTATAACTCTACTATTAATTTACTAGTATGACATAGGAAAAAATATTAGCACCTGACAAGGGAAGAGTTTGCATCTTCCTTGCCTTGCCCTTGTAAGTGTTCTGTTTTTCTAGTGTATGTAAAGATTAATTAAATGCAAATAATTTTCACTTTATCAGATATGATCCTTTGCACATATCTTTCACTATCAGATATAAAGTGTATTTTGAGAAGGTAGTGTGCTTATATTTTCATTGAGCCAGACAAGAAGGTTTGTTCATCTACTGATTTAATAAGCCACAGTATCAATAAAACTACAACTTTTCAATTTGCTGCATGGTTATTATTAAAAATGAATTGAAATTCTTTGTGGGGGTCAAGATCCTGGTTATTGTCTGACTTAAATAATATTCCGTGTCAATATTACCAATATTAGACACCTGACACAGTATCTAGGTATGGGTGGCTGGGGAGGGGCCAGAGTCGGGAAAGCCCCTTCAATTACCCTATTGGCATCCAGGCTGCAAATCTGGGGAATGTATAGTATTGGATGATGTGGAACACTCGCCTCTAAGTGATTTTAAAGTCTAGGTCCCAAGTTCTTGCCTGGACTGTCCTATTATACAAGTTTTAACTTTGAAACAATTCCTGATCTGTAATTTGATGTGATAGTATGCACTCTTTCAGGAAGCTCACTTAAAGATTTGGGCAATTTTTATACCATCTTTTTTATTCTTTTTGTCCTGGGGATTGAACTCAGGACCTTGCACTTGTGAGGTAGGCACAGCGCCACTAAGCTAAATCCCCGGCCGAATAATTTGGGCAATTTTAAAGCTTGTTCAAAATTGACATATTCTGAAACAAAAACATTTTCCTTTTTTATTTTATGAAAAAGCAAATCAAAATTTCATAAAAGTAATGAGAATAATAATAATTAATATACTGTGCGTCCTTATCTTCAGAGTGGTTACTCAGAATACAAGACACAAACCAAAAATATTCTCACAAAAAAGAAACGAACTGATACCACAAAACTTTCCTTGTAATGAACTCAGATAGACTATAAATATAAGTGAAACACGTTAGCATATATACTAAAATATTTTTGAAGCAATTATGGGCAAGGAAAATATACACAATAGAGTACTACCCTGCTATAAAATAAACTCAAGGCATTTGTAGGTACATGGGTACAACTTGAGAACATAATGGTAAGAGATGTAAGTCAGACACACAAGTTCAAACATCCATGGTTTCTCTTATTGGAAAAAAAATACATATATCTTCTATTTTGCTCTTTATTTGTGAAGAACAAATTATTTTTTTACAAATAAAGAAAAAATAGAAGAAAGTTAAATATGTAGAAAGTAGGGACAAATTCAAATACTTACCTAAACAAAAAATGTAATTGAAATTTCTATGGAGTTTAGCTGGGGTCATAAAATTATTCAGAAAGAAGTCATTGGTAAAGATAAAGATAAGATAAAGAATTGAATTGAATGCTATTTTTGGAATCCTCCAGATTATTGGCATGTTGCTAGGCCAAACATCTGAATGGTCATGGTTTGCTTTTTTGTTTTGTTTTGGTTTTTTTTTTTTTTTGTACTTAGGATCTAACTCAGAACCTTACGCTTGCTAGCCAGGCGGCAGAACCACTGAGCTAAATACCAGGCCCTGCCTGGTTTGCTTTCGATGTTTCGCAATGCATGCCTGATGTAACAGTGATGTGTGATGCACTTTTTAATTATCTAGCAGTTACTTTTCATGGGCATAATCCTTCTTCCGTCCAAAACACAATGTAAACACCACCATACATCCCTTCAGTGCATACATTTTTCAAAGTATTTTCACTTCTTTTATCTAGCTTAATAGTTAATGAAATAAAAAGACAGGTATGAGACATTTTATTTTATAGGAGGAAAGGGTGTGGTCAAAGAGGTCGTTTAATGATTCATCTAAGGTTCCATAGAAAACGTATGGCAAACAGAATTTTAGATTGTGAACCACGTTCTGAAGCCAGGACTTCTGCTGTTTTATCTCTAGTAAGACAATTCCCAGAGACGGATGGAATCTGTACCCCAATTTATTGATGTGAATACTATGTTACAAATCCCAAGAGACTGCAGAGTGGTGTTGGGAGACACACATGCGCTCAAAGCCCAAATGTCCATACACAGCATTCAGTAATTTGCTTGTAAAGACTCTGGTGGCTCCTTGACCAAATTATCTGACACTAGGTATTTATAGTTAAAATGAAAAATATTTAGCTTGGGAATATACACTGAAAATATAATCAATTAGAAGAAAATTGAGTTCACTCACGCAAGGGTAAACCAATTTGTCTTTCTCTAGTGATTGGAAATTACATGTTTTAAAGTTTCAACTGTATAAATGAATGGATGTATTCTATTACTGAAACTGATTGAGATACACTTTCTTCCCAGCACATTACTGAGCAAGGAATATACAAAATATGTAAAGAGGGGCAAGGGACTTAGCTTAGCGGTTCCGTGCCTGTATGGGCAAGGTCTTGAGCTTAGCGGTTCCATCCCTTGTAAGGGCAAGGTAGTGAGTTCTGTCCCCCATACCAAAAAATAATAATAAAATATATGTAAAGAGTATTTTTTTCTCCCAGAGGTTTTATTTGAAGGTAATAGTTATAACGCATAAAATACTTTCTGGAAAAGGTAAGAAATAAATCCATAGGCTATAGATATATGGTCCAGGCTCTATGTGCAGTAGATGTTTATAGGTCCCTCAGAATTAAGACTACAGAAAAAAAAATTAAGAAGTTGGGTCACTGAACTTTCACTGAGAATGGGGAAGAGTGGTTAAAAAAAATAAAAATAAAAAGTAAAACTGCAAGACCCGACTGTGGAACACATTCTCCTGTGGACTAAGTCTGGATTCGTTATAGAGAAAAGGGGATCGTCTATAGTGAAGAAGCTAGAAATCGTAAAGTTGTAGGAAGAAGAGATCCCTGTCCCATCTTCAAGTACGAAGAGTTGTGTTATTGTCTTAAGCAAAGTCCAGTGATATAGGAAAACGATGGGAAATCGGGGCACAGGGCAGATAATGAACCACAAACAGTCGCCTGACTGCCTAGTGACGTCTTAGCTGTCTCTGCAGCAAGCACAAGCGGAGCTGCTCACAGTAATAAAACCGAAGGGCAGGCTTCTTGGAGTACGTCCCCTCTTCGGGAGCGGCCTGACCACGTCCTGAAAAGCACACTTCCGGCTGACTTGGACGTCACTTCCGGTACAGGTGCGGTGCCCATCGGCTTTCCTCCCAGGCCCCACAGCGCTGACCTCAGAGATAGATGATAAATCCCCCCAGAAAACCGTTAAAAAGCAACGAAAGCTAAAAGGAAAACGAAATAAAAGGAATTTCCAGAAAAAGCTCATTGTAAACTAAATAAAAATGAGAATCAGAGATTGTTATACAACGCAAACCTAGAGGCATCTTTCCGAAGTGCAGTTCAGCCTGAGCGCCGATTCCTTTCTCCGCTGTCTCCAAGGGGGTTCCATACCATCACCGAGGATAGCATCTTTCTTCCTCCGTTTCCGACCCTGCATTCCTCAAAACCGTATTCCCCAGCCCCCGACCGTCACCCCTTAGCCGGTGACCAGGTCTCTCCAGCTCGGCCGCCTCTGTGCCCTTCTCTCAGCTGCGCTGAGCCCATGAGCTTTCCAGGGCAAACAGTTCTTGTTGCTTCTCCTTGCCTTTGAACACGCTGCGCCCTACTATTCTCTGGCATCAGAGGGACCAGTACTTTGTGGCTGAGCAAATAAGAAGACTCCGGAATCCAGGGGAATACACCCACTCTAGTTCTGAAATCTGCAGCCTTAGCCAAGGGCTCAGGTAGGACCGGGATTTGTCACCCGGAAGCCGATGCTGGCTTTTGTGGCCCAAATCCAGGGCTTGTGCGCCACCTTGTGGCCACAGTATTTACAGCAACAGCCTCCCAGTCATCCTCTGTGCCTTCTTCCTCCATTGTAATAAAACCCTCAGGAAAATGACTTCTGCCGTGCCCAGGGTGTGACAGTCACGCTGTGCGCAAGCAGAGACAGTGTCAGAGAGCTTACCTGGGACCTGCCCCAAACCTCTTTCTACTCACTGACTCGCAGCAGCCCTATCTGCACGTCCTTCGAGTCACCTTAACAAAAATTGATTTTCTTGGTTTGAAAACTGTACCTCTGGCCAAATTTTATCCACTCACCTCAGCAGAGCCAACTTCTCTCTCGTTAACCGTGGAAGGATGATGTACTTAGCTCCCATCCAGTTGTCACACTTCCCTTCTTGATGTGACACAGAATTTAAGACTCAGACTTTGCAAAGTGCTTTGTCATTCATTTCAGATTTAGCCAACTTCACACCCAAGGAGAGTAGAATGGAAGAGAAAGGATGTGTGCTGTGGGAATGGTGCTCTCCAGGCTTCATTAAGTAGCACAGATGCGCGCACACACACACATACACACACATACACACGTGTGTGTGCACCCCAAGCGGAGGGCCCCTTCATCATCCCCGATGGTTACCTGAAGCTTGCACTCTGGTGATCACACAGCTGCCACACTTAGTCTACACAGCGGGTCAGGTGGGTTTTATAACACTGTTTACTTCTTGTTGTTATTAGGTGTGCAATAAAGACACATTTTGCTTTCCAAAAGGGCTCCTTATTTCTCTTTAGTAAAGGAAACCAGAGAACGGTGCTTTCAGGTTTCATTGTTCAGGCAATATTTGGAAAGTGGAAGAAATCCTCATCCCAGGAATTGTGGGGTTGGTCAGAAGGAAGCAAGTGAGTGGGTCTTGTTCAGAAGATGCACTGAAGACAACAGAATTTTTTTCTCTAGTCAGCAATCCAAATCAAGAAGGCCAGATATTGTTCAGGGATGGAAAAGGAATGTAAAATGGGCTGGGGCTAGCAGAAGCCTGGGTTAATAAGTTTGGGGTGGGTCACATGCTCTAAAGTGATGTTAGGAATATAACCAGACCCTCACCCTAAAACAGCCAGTTTCAGAGTTCCCGTCAGCCCAGTCCGTCCTTTGGAAGTCTTCTCATCTCTATCAGATAGCTTGCGATTTCGTGGACCCTCCTGAGAATAGCTAGTGGGGTAACAACTGGCAAGATGGCGCCATCGTCTGTTTTTTCTGAGAATTAAAATTAGTCCAATGATGGCGTCTTCTACCTTGCTGCTCACCGAACTCTCCCTTCTGCCCTTACTCCGTGGAAAGGCCACCTCCCACATTCCACAACGCCTGCTTAACCCCAGCCTCCCGCCAAAAGATGTAGGATGGCTTCTTGCTTGGCTTCCCCTTGAAAGCTCCACTGGGAACTGCAGCCTTGACTCACTTCTGACCAGTGGATGAAACCTGGATCCTAACTTCTACTTTCTAGCCGACCTACCCACTCACCTAATATCATGTACACTGGGTAGTGTTTTAGACAAGTATCTCGTCTCCTGTATGTATTGCAAATATTTCAGATAAATCACACACACACACACACACACACACACACACACACACACACAATATACTATCTGATTTGCTCCAGGGTAGGTCTTGCTCCTTCATTTCCTTTATACTGTCTTTCCAAAGTTTAAGGTTTTTGATTTGATGAAATCTGATTTGTAATTTCCTTCTTTTCTATTACTTACTTGCTCTGAATATTCATGTTACTAACACCTCTCTGTTTCTCCTTGGTTGGCCAGATTTTCTCTTGTTTTATTTCTTATATTCATTTAGCTCTTGCTCTGTGGTACCTGATGCATTTGAACTGGACGTTCACATAGGGCGCTGGTAAAGCCCAATGTCTTCTCATTCGGTGCATGTCGCCTGTGCTTCTGGTAAAGTCTGTTGGAAAGAGGCATCCATCAGATGTCAAAACAAGGGTACCAAAGAGCACGTGTGTGAGAATCCATTTGCAGCCTCTCTATCTGTTCAGTCAATTTCTGAATGTTTCCCCAGACCTTTCAAAACTAACTTGTTAGTTCTGCTGCTTTTTGAGCTGCATTGCCCTGCCACACTCTTTAGACACCCACGACTATTCCTAAAGCAACTGTGCAACTGTTCAACTAACAGCGACCCCGATTCAGTGCGCATCTGGGTGTGAACCCTATCTCCTCCACAAGGCCCGCCCTTGCTCTTCCTCGAACATGTTGTGTGAGACCCTGGGGATCCACACAAGACCTCCCACCCAGCACCCCCAGCCCACCTTTTGCCAATGGCAAAATGACATATTTCGCAGCTTTCATGCCAGAGATGGCTGTCTTCATGGGGAAAATAAACCCCATATTCGTCGGTAATGGACAATTCAAAGAATCAATACTTCTGCTTTGTTCTGTTATTGTTTATTCATTCGTTCAGGGCAATATTCCTTACCTTCGTGAGTTAAATAAAAGTATGAATGAATAAGTAAATGTGGAGAGGAGGCACTCGTGTCTGGAATTTCCTGCCACATTCCCCCAGCTCAGTCACCCTGCCTTTTGTGACAATAGACACAGAGCTCCTGTCCTAGAAAGGAATGTCCACTAGAAAGGATTTGCTGCCACTGAGATGTCTCCTATGCACACTTGAGGACTCATCGTCGCTAACAGTGGAGGCTCCTCTCAGACAGCCGGCAGGTGAAGGTGCTCACGGCATGTTTGCCAGTGATCGCTGTCCAGAGATTGGAAGCTGGTTTGTTTTCTCAGCATTGACCGACTCCCGACCGTGACTCAATGCCAGCCAAGAGGACCTGAGAACAAGGGGCAGAGAGCATTCCTTCTGTCCCCTCTAATCACCCAAGAGGGTGATGTCAAAAGGAAGAGAAGCATCTCTGAACGTCAGCAAATGGTGCAGTGCCCAACACCTCCTATGCCACTATGGGCCCTGCTGGCTCAAAGTCCTGTGTCGTTGGTGCCGACACCCACCAGCTGGGTACAGGGAAGGGAGAGCCGGGCACACGAGTGCTGGCAAACTGGGAAGCGGTGGCAGAGTGCGAAGCTTTCTCAGAACCCTAAAACAGCAGGTGGTTAGTTCTCATTCTTCCTTGCTAGACCAACCTTTCACATTTTAACTTGTATGAATGTGGGAAACTTCCTGCAGTATGTATGAAATTTTGCACACGTAGACACACACTTTATGAGACAGGAAGCTCCCCTTTTCTCCCTATAAGAAATATTATTAAATCACTGCCACAGCTACCCAGAATATTACTTGTCAGGGAGGATTTGTACTCATTACCATGGTGGCACTAACATGCCAAAGGTACTAATGTATTCAAAAATGAATGTATTCAAAGCCATATTTAGAAATAATTAGTCCCTTTCTCTTTTACAATTTAAAAAAATGTATACCACATGCTCCTTTTTGTTAAGCAATTGTGACACCTGCTGTTGAAAATAAAGAACTCACTCCTCTGTCCAAAGGAAAATTTTCCTCCGGGAAAAGGCAAAACTATTGCTAAGACACAAAACCTCCCAGGGGAAGATGAACAGATAATAGTAAGCTTTTCCTGATCATTAAAAGTCCAGTTTTAAGTCAGTAGCAATTTGTGTTGCAAAATTGTGAAAGAGCACCAGAGCTAAGTGTCTACCATACATTGTTTGGGTGCAATAATCTTTTACATATTAGTTAATTAGTACATGTTTGTAGTCCTTACTGTTCACTTCCTTGTGGGGAGTTGAGTCAACAGAAAACCTTTGAATCTATAGATCTTTGTTAAAAGAACCCTTGGTAATAGAAGAAAAAGATGGTCCATGCACAAGCAGGAGGATGACTCATTTGAAAGAGTCACACATGCATTTTTGAAGTTTCAATGTCTTTGACATGAATGACTATAATGTACATGTGAATATGTTGATATAGTGAAAAGTTACTTTTTCAGTGTGTGCTCTCAGTGCTTCTTCTTGAAAACATTTTCGTTTTAGTTCTATGAAGATTTGAACCCTTTGTAGGCCTTTCAAATTATTGAGATCTCAATATTACAGTAAAGTAGTCATATTAGTAAATTATTAATACGTTCCGTTTAAATCAGCTTTCTTTATCTTGTATCTTCCTGAAGTAGTAACCCTCGGGGAAGATCTAGTAAGCACAAATATCAGAACTTGCTGTTGAATCTCCCTTTCACTTTCTCTCTGCCTCTTTCTGTCTTCATCTTTTACCCAATATATTATCTACACCAATCTACTTACTCCTGCTCTGCATAATTAAGAAGTTTGCAGGACACTAAGGCAACTCACAATGACACAGAACATACAATCAGAAAACCTAAATTTGAAAGAGATAAGAAAAATGTGAACTCTCCGTTTTTTAATATTTGTCCTTGTTAGTTTTATCCTCAATGTGACTTAAGAGTCATCCTGGATTAGAACAAGATTCACTATTAATATTTCAATAATAATAAATGTTGTCTCCTTTCCCCCGTTCCTTATACTGAGAGGACACAATGAAATCCAGATGGGAAAGACGTCCTGTTTGCCAGATGTTCTCTAGGCAGGGAATGGTGAAGAAGGGTTGTTCTCTGCTTATTCATAGAAGAATAACACACTTGTTTCTTACTTCTCCCAAAGGAAAGGAAAAGCTACTTTGCTCAGAAAGATGAGAGGGAAAATGCCCTAGATTTTCATTATAATATTTTAGAATATAAATATACCCTATGAAGGGCAGGTATGGCTCAGTGTCCCCAGGTTTGATGACCTAAACATGTCTCCAGAGTTCTTCAGAGTCAAGTAAACTCTGAACCCCAATAAATACCTATGTGAATATAAATTAATATCCCACATTCTACTTTTAGCTCAGGATATGAAATATCTGCAAATTTTATTCACAAAATCTCAGACCTTCAGAATTGCTTTTCTCTTTTTTTTACATTCCACAGAAAGATGATGGGACCATAAAATTAATATGAACAAGAAAAGTAGACTAAAGTAATTCTGATAGTTTGGTAATTTTATTATAATAAACTAGCGTTCTAGTTAATTAATTCTTTCTTTGGGGTGAAATACATCTGCAAAGAGACCAGTCATGTACGCATACCAGTGATCATTACTTTTACTCCAAAGAAAGTTACCATTAATTATTTTTTTGTTTTGTTTTTGTTTTACTGTCATTTGGGAAAATAAAATTAGCTTCAGACATTTAGACAACTAAAATATTTTGTTGTAAATTTAAACAGGAAAAACTCATTAGGTTGACATAAAATGCTCTTTCAGTAATTTTACTCTTTTAGGCAAAGTGCTTTTTCCCAAAGCAGGAGGTTGAAGTCAGATTTCTTTATTAGGAACAGAACATTTTAGTGCTAAGGAAAGCCTTCAATATCCGAAAATCTTAATGGATTTAGAGCTAATTTTAGAAAAAGACATGTCTAGGACACATTGATTCGTACTACTGAGTAGGTTTATGCTTCTTCAGAAGTGGGTATTTTCAATTAGATTTCTCTTTTATTATTACCCAGATAACATTTCTAATTGCTTTGTGTCATAAGTCTTGGCAGGAGAAAGATACTTGGGATATTTTAAGAAAATAGTTTTTTCTTTGGGTCTGAGGATTTTTATGAGTTGTTTTGGTTTTGAAATAGGGTGCTCACTATGTAGTTCAGGCCGGACTTGAACTCGTTATGTAGCTCAGGCTGGCCTTAAACTCATGGTGATCCTCCTTCCTTAGCCTCCTGACTGCTGGGATTAAAAATGTGAGCTACCACACCTGGATACAAATATTTATTTAACAGTAATAGAGTCAATGTTGTATCCTGAAGAAACACTGACTTTCTGGAGATAGACTTGAGATGGAATCCTTAAGCTTCCACTTACTGCCTTTATGAAATTTCAAAAGTGAGCTTGGTTTGCTCATCAGTGAAAAGATCACCCACCCATCACTATGCAGACAGTGAGAACTCAGGCTGAGAGAGCATGGAAATAGGAATTATAGCTACATTTTCCAATCTTTGAGGAGTGTAGTAGAGACTGTTGCTTAGATTTCTCTCTGTGTGTATTATACAATAGCCACTCAGCAAAATGGAAAAATATAAGTAAATCTGAAGAGGAATTATGCTTCTCTTTGTCCAATGTCATATGTAATATCCAGCGTTTCTTTATTTGTCCATGGTGCCACTATCACTCTAACCAAGAAGTGGGTGAGTTAGGACAGGGCAAACTTCTTTCAATGCGTCTTTTGAGCACAACATTCTTCTGCACCACAAAAACCACAGCAGTCATTTACATACTTCCAATGAAGAACATTATTTTGATGGACAGGTAAACAAATACGGAGAAGCTCTGTTATGAGGTTTCGTATCAGAAGTAGGTTTGATCACCACCGAAAGTAACACTACTATACATTATACAATGAGCGATACAAATTGTTCTTTTAGTCTCTTGTGTTTTTTATTCTTTGCTCTGTGTGAGTATTGCTGTGTGTGTGTGTGTGTTTTGTGAGTGAGTGCAGTACTGTATTACTTTCGCTATTTGAGAGGGCTTGCATTTATTTCTTTTCTCCAAGTTTTTCATTTCAGATTGTCTTAGGTAAAATGCAATGCAGGATCCTTCTAGGGACAATAAACACAGAAACAATAATTTAAGATAATGATTCCTCCTTTTCTTCATAATGCCTTCCAAGTAATAAAATGAGTTACAGCTGCGATGGTATAATTAAAGAAGGTCTATCTTAGAAGGAACAACCTGAAGCAAAGCATTTTACAACTATTTATTCGTGCTTGATGCTTATTTCTGTGTGGATAAATCCGCCCAGCAGTAATTTTTCACGTGGGTGGACCATTGTCCTGAGGAATAACTAAAAGCAAACGTTTTAGTACATTTTCTGTAATCCACATTTAGCATAAAATGTCTTGTAAAGTTTGGATCTACTGGGACCCATAGGATCATGCTCTAGATGCACAGCGAAAACATTCACCTGTCTCTTCATATCAAGGCCTAGACAGCATTTAGCATCTACCCAAAAAGTCGAGTTCACACTGTCGTCACTAACCTTAAATTCAACTTGGTAGCTCTACCTGGTCATCTCTCATTTGCATTTATCCAGCAAGTGAAGGGACAACTCTATCTCAGACTATATGCGACGCCTTGGACATAAAGCAATATCAAGCAGACATCATTATTTCTCCATAATGAAGTCAGGAAAGCAGGGCCATTTAAACAGGTCCTTGAGTGTCAAGGTAGACCCTTGGGATTCTGGTTTCAGTTTGATAAAAGATACTAGAAGATTGAAACAAACACATTGTTGTAGTCATATTTTAAGAAGATAATGGAAAATGACTTCTTCAGTAGAGTTAGGCAGCCTCCATGGCTTGAGTGTGTCCCTCAAAAGCTGCTGTCTGGCTCCCCAGTTCCTCACTGTGCAGTACTGGGAGGGGAGATGCAGTGGGGGTTTGGGTCATGGGGCCAAGCCCTCAGTTGTATGTTCACGGCTTCCACTTGTGCATTAGGAATTCATAGATGTGGCTATGCTCCAGTGAAAGAAAAACATTTGTAAAACTCAAGGCCTATGAACCAGAGCATCCTTTTCTTTGACTTAAGAAACGCAAAGATGTCATTTTATTCTTAATTTTGTAAAAAAAAAAATCACAGAACAATTTTGCAAATCACAGACACAGAAACAGGTTAGAAATCATTACAGTTACTGCCACATACTAATTACAGTCGGGACACCCTTTCTGCAGTAAGAAGAAACCCCGGGAATGAAATATTCAAGACTGACAGATGAATGTAAAACATCAACATGAAGGTCAAAACTATAAAAACAAAAAAGCAAAACTGAAAACTAAATGAAGATCAAGTCATTCTTCCTTGTCAGAATCTCTGCCACAATAATAAACCCTTTTTCCTTTCTCCTCTCCAATTCACCATTTCAATTATTATTATTCTAAAACTAGTTCTAGCATCATTATTTCTATGATTAAAATCCTTAGTAGCTTCCCTCTGGGTCACCTTTTTGCTCCTGGAATCTGGCTTCTCCACAATCCCTTTCCAACGCTTTGGGTCACCTCATCCATAGGATTCCTTTCCCTCTCCCTCA